CTTTGAAAATCTAGTGAATACATGATATTTGTAATTTGTGAAAAAGGTCAAAATAAAAGCCTCTATAACTCAGTGGTTGATTAAAAATTTAGAATTTCTACATTAGATATGATGTTTGATTTACAGAGAAACGTAAATTATTGCAAACTAACAAATTTACTAGATATTTTTAATTTGGTGCGTGGGATCGTTCGTTGTGAATTTATGTATTATGTGTAAAATTATCAATCATAAATATCGTGTAAGTAGAATCGTCTGTTATAAAATTATTGCAGTACAATGAAAACTATTCGACGTGTTTTCAATCAGGTTAAAATTTAGATTTGCTCTTTGGAAATAATAATTCATCATTTATAATAAATAAATAAATGTAAAGCATTACTATTCTTATAACATTAGATTTTATTAGAATTGTAAAACCAGTGATAATTTTGTTTTTTTTGCAAAAATAGAAGACTTGGATATAACATATATGTATTGTATTTTTTCTTTCTTTCCTAGCGATAAGAACTAGAAGAAAAATGAATATTATTTATATGTGTGTGTGTGTGTAATAAAACTATTGAATTCAAAGAAATATGTTATTCATAATTAATAAATGAAAAATTAAACGAATAGCAACAAGAAAAAATAGCAAAAAGGGTTTAGTATTATGCATTACGTAGACTTTCAGTGGTACCAAAAACACAATTACGATAAACGTAAACTTGTATTATTGATATAATGAGAAAACATAAGTAAACATAATATCAACTTTTATTATTGATATTATGAGAAAACATATATATAAGTTCTTCAATTTTCTTAAACCATTGAAGGAGTTTGGCGCCTGCAGACAGCCGACATTCTTCTTTTTTAAAATAACACATTTTTGGTAATCCGGCACAACAAAAATAGAATTTTTGGTTTAAGGCGTTTTTGCCACATTCTACACGCATGCATAATATTGGAGTTAACTCGCCTATCTTAAGGCTTTCTGCGTTTCCAACTACAAAAAAAAAAGGACATTTAAAACAATTTTTTTATGGAGGATATAAACAACGTAACAAAATAGAAACTTAATATATGCGTAATTGCATATACATACATTCATGTAGAGAAACGAGAGAAATCACGAAGAGGCAGAGGATAGCAAAATGTGATGCTGACATTATTTAGTAGTAGTCTTCTGAAAAACAGAAACGGTGTTTGTTGTTTGATGGTACGAAAGGGATTTATATAGATAAATATGTAATTACTAATGCATTTTGTTTTATAACTAGTGATTCATGTTTTATATGTTGATCCATGAAAAGTTGTTAGATTTGGTTTACTAGTTTTCATTCTTTCTTATCTTTTAGTAATATCATGTTTGTTTAACTTTTTTTTCTTTTTCTTTTTGAAAGGTTTAGTGGGAGTTGGATTTACGTAAAGTTTATTGGTTTTAAAAGTTGAGAGAATCACACAATTTTGTTATTTCTTATTTCTAAGTGAAGCGTGTTTGTTTAGTTTTTCTTTCCTTCTTAAGAGTGTTTAGTGGGAATTGGTCTTATTTAGAGTTAAAGTTGACTGGTTTTATAAGTTAAAAGGTTTGTTAAATTTATGAAGAATTTTGTGTATTCAATAAGTTTAGGTATACAAATTTGAAATCTAA